GTCTTGTCAGAATCGATACACGCCTGCAATCACTGGGTATATGCCTTAGCACATATGCCATGGCTGCCAACGCTCCCGAGTATGGGCTCTGCTCTGCTCTTGGCCCTAGAGTGAACGAGAACGTCTCCCGTCTCACACTCCGCTGTGGTGTGACTGAACATTGAATAACTCCTCCCACACCAACTGCGCCATTGCGTGCGGAGCTGCTCGCTGCCACAACTACATCTCCTCCCACTAACAGATTCTTGTCGGCCTTGCCATCCCCTTCAGCCTCCATCCTCTTTCTCCACGGTTCTATTGCAAACGGTAAAATAGTTTCCAATTCCTCCGTCGGCACATCTCGCAACCTGCGTGTTACCTGGTACAGAGGTGATCGGAACGCGGCGTAGAACTTTCTCATGCGCGACGTCACTCGCATGAAAGTACTGTAGAGTGCGAAAGTTGGCCCGTTCTGTTAAAATGGTGAAGCTCTTCACGTCTGGACGTGCTAAGCCTGAACCATTTTCGTACCGGAGGGCAATGGTCTTCGACGCAAACCTTATTGCGTTGCGATCTCGATCTCTGCTTGTTGAGCGTACTTTTGCAAGCGTGCTGGTGATTAACTTGGCCATTTTAGCGGTGTCTATAGCCTGAGATCTAAGTCGAGGAGTCTTCGCGGCAACCTTTGCCTTTCGCAAGGCGACGTCTGCCTTACGGCTTAGACTAGTAGAGCCTGCTGGCTTTATCCCTTCTAATGATGCGCGGTATGGCGGCTTTGACTTCGTTGTCCCTTGAGAACCCTGCAGCGCCACTGTAGGTTTTTTTGTTTTGATGTAGGAAAAGCAAGCTGCAGCGCCACTGTAGGTTTTTCTTATTTTGATGTAGGAAAGAAACCTGCAGCGTCACTGTAGGTTTTTTTGTTTTGATGTAGGAAAAGCAAGCTGCAGCGCCACTGTAATTTTGGTGTGATTTTGGTCTCTTGAGACTAAAGCGCGTTGCTAAGTGGGCCCACAAGAACAGAGATCTGAGGTTGTCCGGATCGGCATGTCTGTGATATCCTGCCGTGGCAGCCATGTTCAAAGCCAGCTTCGCATGAATAGTGCACAAGCTCATACTAAATGTGATTTGGCTTGTATAGACGTCTTGGTACATTTGCAGGATCACTTAGCTCTTGCACCTGAGTCTCTTGATCTATGACAGCCGAATGGAGACTAGATGTGAGAAGTAACTATGCTCTCTTAATTAAGTGCGTGTAGTCTGCGCGTGCTTGCGCTGAGGCACTCCTCATTCGCTGTATATATAAAGCTTATGGGCTTGAACTTTCACAGGAAATAAGTTATCGAAACCATCTCTACCGTTTTATGAATTCTTTTTGATTTCCGACCAGACTTTATAAAGGTACCGTGAGCGACCCAAAACACTCGTCTTTCAACGTCCTTGTATGCTCTCCCCTCTGGTACTAGCAAGTTCATAACATTAACGCCATCGAACTCTACTAGGCTATAATTCTATTCTGAAAGATCATGATATCTACTATATTTGGTGCTCTTTACTCGCAGGTGTCGTTTCTGGACACTCTTTTCCCTGGCTTGAGCATTGCATTAAACTATATCTAACCTCTGACGTCGGGTAAATCTTATCTCGGCGCCCGCCTACTCTGCATATATAGCCTGGTCACTTTCTTGATAAGGTTTGCCTATGGTCGCGTTTCTAGGATCGTGGAGAAATATTTAAGTAGGTCTATCATGTTAATGCCACTAGGCTACCTAAACTCTAACCGTTCTTAGCATTTTCTATGGAAGTTCTCTATACCGATAATTCGTACGACACCCTAAGGAACTAGGTGTAATCTTAGCCGTTCGCTATAGAAACTTAATCCACGATTATGACTCTCGGAAAGCGAGCCAAGCCGGGGAACAGAGCGATAAAGAACACATTATAGTACAGTCTAAAGAACTTAAGTAAGTCTTTTTAGTATAAAAGCAAGCTTCTTTACCTGCGCGCTATCCCAGAAGAAGGGTACTTGTATCGTGAACGGTTTCTACTCTCCTACATAGGTACGTCGAACGGAATTCTGAAAGCTTCACGATTGCCAGGTCACGCTAGAGAAACAAACGGAAAGTAAGACCGCAATTTATATGAACAGCGATGACCGCTGGAATCTCGCTACGCGGCGGGGTTAAAAGCAGATAGATACTATTATCCTTCCCGAGGACGTGAAAAAGGACTTCTTTAACGACATTATGGAGTACCTTAACCTAGAGGCCGTAGCTTAGTATGCTAAGAAGGACCAGCTCTACCACCGTGGCTACTTGCTCTATAGCGCGCCCGGAACTAGCAAAATAAGTCTTAGCTTAGCGGCTGCTGGACAGTTTAGTCTAGACGTCTACGCGATGAACCTGTCTAAAGTCAACGATGCGAAACTAAGCGACCTAATGCGAGAACTGCTATCACGATATATCCTCCTCCTAGAGGACATTAATGTAATTAAAAGCGTAAAGAGTCGTGAAAACAGCGATGCTAGGTTAAGCATAAGTAGTAGCGTGACACTCTCTAGTCTTCTTAACGTGATTAATAGAGCAGGTTCTGTGGAGGGAAGAGCTTTAATTATAATAACTAACTATACTGATCGCCTCGACCCGGCTGTAACTCGACCAGGACGTGTGGATAAGAAGGTTGAGTTCGGGTTAGTAAGTTGAGAGATGCTGCTAGAGCTGTTCTGATACGTCTATCTGCCCTTGTCTAGTAAGACCGAGAAAGTAGGAGATAAGGACGAAGGAGTCATTAATAACCAAGACGCTCAGGATACCTAGAAGCATATCTAGGAGCTGGCAGCGATGTTCGCTGATCGTGTGCCTGCGATGAAATATAGCCCGGCTCAGATCTTATCATTTCTGATTGCACACAGGCATTCGCCTCGAGACGCAGTGGAAAATGTCATCTCCTGGGTTGAAAAGGAGGGGGAAGGTTTCATTCCTCTGAGGCGCCACACTTCTACGATGAACACGATGGAAGAAGACCTGGACGCAT